TTTCTTTCTTTTCTTCTTTTTTCGCAATATAAATTCTCGAAGAGAAAGAAAATGTCAAAAACGTGTCAGAGACGAGCATTTTAATTTAACGCGACGAACGTGTTTCTCGATCGGATAGGAAGGGATTCTCGCATTCCAAAAGGGCGGATCTTTCCGGGGATCATCTTGCAAAAAAGATATTTTATCTCTCTCCTCCTCCTCCTCCTTCTCCTTCTCCACCCTTCTCTTTTCAACCCTCTGTAATCTAATTTCTTTCTTTCTGTTCTTTTTTCTTTTTTTTTTCTTCGTAGAATTCGACATTTTAATTGCATCAATGGAATATTTTTTTTTATATGTAAATTATTATTATCATCGGCATTATTATTAATAAATTTATTGTTATAATAACTTTTATTATTATTTTTTTTTTTATAAATTTAATCAATCTATATCAATTATAAAATAATCTTAATCGTTAATCATCTAGAATCATTTTTATTTTACGCTCCCCCCCCCCCACTCCGAGAGCATTTAAGAAAAAAAGAAAAAAAAAAACAAATCACAAACCGATCTTGAAGATACTTTTAAAAAACCTTAACTATAAATAAATAAAAAAGATAATGAATATCTGTGCACAATTTGTCCTTTTTAAAATGTAGATGTGTGTGTGTGTGTGTGTTTTCGAGATAATTAAATAAAAATAAAAAAAGAATACGAAATAATTGAATTATAATATTATGTTAATTATGATTGCTTATTAGACCTAAAGATACTTTCTATAAATGTACAAAAACTATGTGTTTCTATATTTATCTCTTTTTATAATAACACCGTATCGATAAAATTCAAAACAACGATAACAAGATCTGATGGGATATTTAATAAGGGTTATCAAATTTAATTATATACCATTTGACGTAAGAAACATATAATTATTACATATCGCTGCTACTCTCTCTCTCTTTCTCTTTCTCTCTTTCTCTTTCATATGCAAAAAACCAATAAAGAAACCGATGAGTTTCGTGTACCTTAGACTCGATTCAATTTAAACCACATTTGATATTATAATCGATTTATCCAATTACAATTAATATCTTTCAAAATGTCCATAATAACTTATCGAACAAGAAACCATGGTTAAATTTATCGAATCAAAAAAAAAAAAAAACCATGATAATTATACTCGCGAATAATTTTCTTTCGAAATAATTAAATCCTTTTCTTTTTTTCTTTTCCTTTCTAAAATTGTGTGTATCTCACTCATATTGTATATATTTGATAAATATTATTTAAAATAATGAAAAAACAAATATCCTATGAAGAAATCATGACGATTGTACTACGTAAAAAAAAATGTTATCATAACGTTAACGTAATTAATGATCACTCAAAAAGTTATTCACGTTTTATCTCCTCGCGTTATATTTTATAAATATTATTAAAAATATTGCAAAAAAAAAAAAAAAAAAGAAGGTCAACTTAAAAATACATGATTTCTTTTTTACGAAAAATCACGACGACGAATTATACACGTGAATAATTTTATTTCAACACACAATTAAAACATCTCGTATATTATCCTCTCATCTTTTTCTAAACATACAATATTTTTTAAAGTAAAAGAGAAAATAAAAAAAAAACAAAAAAAGAGAAAAAAAAAACACACACACACAGAAGTGACAAGAAGAAGAAGAAGAAGAAGGAAAAAAATAAAATAAAAAAAGAAGAAAACATTTTGTCCCCGCCCATATAATTCTTTCGCGAGATATTTCGACCAGTTAATTTTCTCAACGTAACAGAAGAAGCAACGATGATTGGAGCATTCTGAAAGAAACGTAACGAAGAAGTTCCAGCATCTTTCCTTCCTTCCAGCCCTCCCTCCCTCCCTCCCTCCCTCCCTTCTACCCTCCTCCCACATGCAATGGGTTTTTCATATCTCGCCTACGTCCACCCTAACCATCTCCTTGCCTTAAACGTTGCTTTCAAGAGAGTGACTTTAACATCGTCGTATACCAGTTTCATCTTTGACATTTCCAAGTTGCTTCTAAGACAATACGCACGATCATTATAATAACCATATACCAAGTGTTAATTAATATTTTTCTTATTTTCTATATACTCTTCTTTTGTATTCTTAATTATAGTTAAACAAGGTGTGTATACACACGTATTTGTGACAAGTGACATACCCATAGAAAAAAAAGAAAAAGAAAAAAAGAAACTTGATTTTCATTATTTTCGCGAATAAATTTTCAATAAAAAAAAAAATAAAAGGGTATCTCGCGTTAAATTTAATAAAATTATTAGATATGGAATCCTGGACGGATAACGTTAATTCGAATCAACGATTAACCAACGAAATATTCGAGTCGTCTTACTTCGATCGAGAAAACTTACGACTCGGAACGAATTACGAAAGTTTTCGAAATCACAAATACTGGAACAGATCTTCCAATTCTTCGAGCGTTGTTAATACTTCTAGAGAAATGAGTCAACTTCTTGCTCCGTATTGTGTCAATGGTGCTTATTCACAGAATACCGATGCCAAACAAAATTATCGTCTTTACAGGTACATACATACATATTATAAATTATTTAAAATCACACATATACATTTTTATATATGTAATAATAATAATTATTATTATTTATAAATCGAGATCGCAAATGAACGATACAATGATACTTTTAATTGTTAATTTAAGATGGGGTCAATATTATCAACAAAGTTGTACCCCAATCGAACAACGTAGCGATAAAGAAGATTCAATGGGTGATTCGTCTCGTGATTTTATGTCAGAAAAAAATATCGACAGTCAAGTTACTACGACGACAACGGCAACTACGGTCTTTCGAAAGGGAGAAATTTTACATTTTCAAAGTAATTTACAAAGTAACGTACTAGAAACCGAAGAACGAGATACCAAGTTTGAAACTTGGCCGACAACGACAGCTCAATCGCAACAGGATCTTGTTAACTTTTCTTACGAGGAGGAAGAAGAATCGTCTTTCATCGATCACGGTAAGAACTTTTGATATATATATATAAGAAATATATAATACAAGTAAATAAAAGTAAATATATAAAAATACACGCGTGCACATATATAGTGAAAGAAATACGCATAAGTTCTTTTCCCCTTTCTTTAAAAATCAAACAAATATAAAAAGAAAAGAAATTTGTATCGAATTAGATCATTCGTGAAAGTAGCAATTCGTGCTAATTAAATGATCGATTAAATCGATCAATAAAAAGTTGCAATAGTTCGTTTTATTTTATTTTATTTGAATCGCCGATTTCTTTCTTTCTTTCTTTCTTTATTTATTTCTTTATTTATTTCTCGTGAAAGGGCAAGAGATGCAAGTTCTCGATCGAAGGGACATAAAAACGAGAGATTTTTACGAGCGACTTTCGCATACCGACGACATTTGCTTGTTGATAATCCGTTTGCATTAACCGCGTTTATGGCTTTACCGTCGCCGATGCGGCTGTAAAGGGACCCAAACGTAGCCTAAATATTTATGAGGAAGTTATATCAGCATCAGTACTCATTAACCAACACATATTACGTAAGAAACGTGCCTAATTGTTGGCCCTTACTTTCATTTTATTACCGCGTAATCGTCGCGAACATAGAAATGAGCACATCCCACTCTCTTTGTGGTATAAACTTAAATATTCACAAGATTTTTTGTTTATATAAGAATATATTATATTTTTTTAAATATCTCAACAATATTTCTTCTATTTTGATCAATATCTTTCAATCTTTTTTTTTTGACAATATTATGTCAAATCAATGATTGGTATTTATTTATAAACAGTGTTGCAATAATTAATATTTTATTACTAACAAATTTGTTATTATTTTAATGATATTACGTTTAATATAAATGTCTAATAATTTTTATTAATTTTAATGCCATTGTTTTATAATAAAATTAAAAAAGAATTTAGGTTTTATGAATACCCCGGTCATTTATTTCAAATACTGATTTAATAAATAGCACAATCTATATAGTAAAAATATCTCATTGTAAGTAGATGAATGTATTTGTGTTTTGATAAAAAATGAAACCGTAAAATTATTGTTGAAAAAAAAAGAACTTGATCATATTGTAACTTTCATAAATTTTACTTTAATTAATCGTACAATTAAATATTACTAAAAAATCGTAAAGTTTATGAATTTTTATGCTTATTATCGTCGAGATCAAATTATGCGTTTAATTAACTTTAAAAAATGATTATTATCATCGTTCTCGTCCTCGTCGTCGTCATAGTTGTCGTTATTATCAACAAATTTCTACGATTGACGTCATTTAGCAATTAAAGTAGCCGACACTAGAAACAAAAAGTAGCAAAAGGAAAAAATGAAAAGATGAATAAAGTTCTAAGGGTACTTCGTTATACCAGCACACCGGAGTTCTAAGCGGCGGTTTAGATATTTTTTTTTAAACATATACGAGTTTCAATGAAGCCAAACGTTTTAGAAGCGGCATCAGCATCCCACACACACAAGGGTTTATCAGTCGGCATGGCGTACTCACTACTCTTGCAATGACGCATCGAATATGCGGCTATTTTCATCAGCACGCGGTATATAATACGACAAAAAGCTCGGTTCGTGGTAAAATCCTCTTGTAGTTCCACGAAGTGCGGCAAGAAAATTACTCTCTTTAAGAAATTACTCCAGATCCTCATACTTGACCAATCACATTTATTTATTTATTTATTTATTTATTTATATGTGATTTTTATTTTTTGTATTTTTTAAATATAACTCTTTTACGCATGAATTTTGAATTCTTGTAATAGTAATTATAATGATACTTATATTTAGACAATCAATAATTATAAATATTTTAAATCAATATTTGTGTGCAATAAAATATCAGTATACTAAATTAAACTGAACAGAACATTAATATATTATTTATCGTTGATTAATAAAAAAGATATATACTGATCAAATAAATATTAATATTTCAAATATTATAATAGAGAAATATAAATGAAATATTGAATATTAATAGAAATATTATTTTGATTTCAATTTAATTTTGTATATTATAGAAAAGACAAGAAAATTAAATAATACAGTTGACAAGCCTCGCAAAGAGAGGACAGCTTTCACAAAGCAACAGGTCCGTCATTTAGAATGCGAATTTGCACACAGCAATTATTTGACACGTTTACGACGATACGAGATAGCTGTTGCATTGGATTTAACCGAACGTCAAGTAGGTATTTTATTATATAACTTATATTTTTATATTTTATATATATTCTACATGGGAACATATATAACAAAATTATTGATAAAATCTTATCTATTCTTATACATAGATTAAAGTATGGTTTCAAAATAGACGCATGAAATGGAAAAGAACTAAAGGAAATACAGCTAATTTACAAGAACGAAGTACTGTATCTTGATACGCTAAGTATTTGAATGTACATATATATAATTGTACATAATAGTTAATGTTACTTATTTTTACTTGTAATAAGTTATGTAAATCCTTTCAAAATTTGTACATTACTTAAAACAAATTAATTAATATTTGTTTAACTGTATTATTTTAAGTTGTAGTTTGTTTCGTAAAGACAAATAAAATGTATTAATAAAAATCACATCGGTGAATTACAATACAAAATTTCTTATATCTACTCATCGATATTATCAACCGGTTTGAATTTTAAATCAATACCTTTTGCTTTTAATTTCTCTTCCAACTTTGTAAGATTTTTTAAACTTTTCTTAGTATACTGTTTGTACTTTCGGTCACTTATTATAGAATTTCTATTAGCTGTTACCATTTTTCTATTTACGGCTCTTGGATATTTCTTCTTGGACCAATTTTTTCCTGCGAAGAAGCCAAAGTGCTGTTCCTCTGGTGGTATGTAAGTCGCTACAAATTGTTAAACAAAATATAGTAATATCACACTACGCTCCAACATATATAAACTAATATAAATTTATATATAATACCTTTCATTAATCTACCACACATTAAATAATTATTCATTGTTTCTGCTGCTACCTTAGCCACCTCAGGAACTAGAAATTCAACGTAACCAAAACCACGACTTGTTCCGGTCTATAAAAAATGATGAATAACTGTATAGCGTACTTGCATCCAAGAAAAAAAAGTATGCACATTAAATACGTACCTTGCTAGACCTTACAAGCCTTACTTTGGTAACTTTACCAAATTGTGTAAAATAATCTTTCATTTGTTCTTCAAAGAATCCATGTGGTATATGACCAAGATATAAAACTCCCCTACTAGACTTAAATACCCATTCCTTTTTTGCATTTTTCTTAATAAGTGATTCTTTCAGCTTATTTCTTGCCGACCTATATTCAATCTGTTTTTTCTATAAAAGTATTTTAAATCAAGAACGTATTAGCATTGATATTAAAAAGATATTGTTAGAAAATATAATTCATATTAACACGTGAATTCTAACCTCGATAACTTCTTTCACATTTTTCACAGCTTTTTTTAAGGCCGATTCACCAGCACTTTTCGAGACTCTTGTTTTATTAGATACAGCTTTTCTAAGTGCTTTATCTCTCAAAATTTTTGTTTTACTTTTAACTTTCATTTTGATAAATAATATGTCACACAAATCTCACACACATGGACACAAGCAATTTACCTGCAACGCGATGCAACTGACATCTGGTGCATCACTAATGCAACGATTCTGATTGGTCGAAAAGTGTGGGAAATTCAACAGCATTTTTACTTCATATTCTTATGTACTCAAACAAATTTATTATATTTTAAATAATTCATCAAAGCTCTAAGGAAATAAATATATGTTTTATATTTAAATAAACACAATGCATATATCGGTGAAAAAATTTGGATACGCGAGATGGAATTGAAAAGACTATTAGAAAAATGTTTGTATCTATGATAGAAAATATTGGAAAACAAAAAGGAAAAAATTAACTGAAACAATCGATAAAGTTTAATCTTTTAATCTGTTTCACTCCTAAAATCTATATTGCATCAAACAATTCACGTGTTTCGAGCTTACGTGCAGGATCATAGATTATACAGCATGTATAGCCACGTTTCTCTCTGAAAACATTACTTGCATGTTAGTAGACATTTTTTTATCTGTTTCACTTATTACTCTGTCTATTTCTAATTCTATCTAGGTTTAAAAAATGTATTGATTTATTTGTAAAAATTTACTTTACTAACAGAATAATGCATATTTACATCAAGATGCTAAATAATAAAAACAAAATCCCAATTGCATGTAGATATCTCTCCCACATTAATAGGTTTAACTCATATTTTTTAATCACCCATTAACATGCATCATGTTACACATTAAAATCAAATAAAAGGCTGATTGGAAAACAATGAGAATTATTTTAGATTTCAGCCAAGTAATGAAATGCTGTTAAAAAATATCATCCTAAAACATAAAATAAAAAAATATCAAAATCATTTAATGTTCAAAGTACGTTAATAGGTATGTAATGCTTATACTAGTATACATATGTTTAAACAATCTGAAATATAAAGAGAGTGCATTAGAATAAAAAAATAATTGTTAATTAATCGATAGAAATGTCTATTGTTGTAAAAAAGATCCGAATATATGTTCGGAGCTCCGTCCTCTTCGAAATCCTCCTTGAGACTGGCACTTTCTCTTCTATGTAATTACTTTTATTGAAACTTGTTTATATGACTTTCCGAACGTTGCGCATGTGTATAAAATCAATAATCCACCTAATCAATAAAATTTTAGATTATAACATTCTCATTTCAGCATTTTTATTATTTTTATATAATTATTTTAATGCTCCTGCACAGAGATCACTTCCAGRGTAACATTTAGCTGTAACATAAGAAAATTGCATTAGTGCATTAAAATAATTAGTAATTAATCGATGCTATTATCTATGCAATTTTGATGCAATTGTTTAAATAAAACTACACTATAAAGATGTAATTATTATATACAAGTTACAGTTATAAAATAATTTCGATGTGATATGCTTTTAGATGAAAATGAACGGTAAAACAAATGTACATTAGTTTAAACAATTACATAAAAATTGAAGGAATGTTTAAATCAGAACGTTGCAATGTGATAAAGTTTCTAATCTGTACTGTCTTTATTTTACTCGTTATTTTTTAAATATTAACAAGGAACGTATACACCTAATAGAAAAATAWATTGAATAATAATAATTATTAATTGAATATATATAATAATAATTATAAATTAGATAATTACATATATAATTAATAAATAAATTATATATGTTTTTCTTTGCGGTGTGATAAGGTTTATAGTGCATATTGTCTTTATTCTTTTCGTTATTTTTTAAATATTAATAAGAAACGTGTACATCTAATAGAAAAAATAGAATAGATTTTTAATATATATTTAATAAATAAATTATCATATCTCAAGCTTGACTAGCGTGGTCATAAAGAAAGCCGTATTACGTACATGTGACGGGCTAAGCTTGTGTGCGTGAAATATATTTCTAAATGATTGGAAATTTCTGATTGGTCACTTCGCGTATTAATAATTATCGGCTAATCAATCGAAAGAGAATAACCAATCGAAAGAATTATCAGCCAATCAGGGCTCTTTGCTGATAWTCTTTCTTTCTTTTCGCGGCGTCGGTGTTGGAGATCGCACAGATACTGCATCGTCCTGTTATTTTCAGGTAATTAATAAATATTATCTAACGTAAATAATTGTCTTATATATTAATCGATTCTTCTAACAAATTACTTCTAAATAATATAATCGAAAGATTACGATAATGTCGAGGATACAAAATATTTGCGTAGAAAAAAATTCCATGTAGATACTTTGGGGTATGCATTTTTCTATGCAATTATTTTCTTGTTTTACGGTATAATTTCTATAGATATCGACTTATAATGATCAATTTTTATTGTCTGGGTTAATAAAGTATATATTTCGACAATTGTTATATTCCTATATACTATTTTTAACTACTATTTTTCTATAATAGATTGAAAAAATGGAAAATCATCAAGCAGCTATTGTTTGCAGCAGATGTCGCTGCAGTTCCTTGCGAAACTACCGTGCTGCAACGGCGACCACCATTTAAAAAATTTGTCAAGTGTATATGTTCCAGTGCACTGCATCATTTTGTTTAATCCAGGTAATTGAAAAGTATTTTACACCTTCCTATTATATATCAAACGATAGCTACACACAAGATTTTCATACGTGAGTGTTTTCAAAACGAAATATTAAAAAATACGGAAGATATAATCATCGATGTATCTCAGTTTCGCGCCAAACCTAACCACAATGTTACTTAATAATATTATTTTCTAATTTCGAGCTTTTTTTTATGGTATCAATAATTATTACCATATCTAATGATTCTCTAATTAATTATTTTTCATAATTATGTATTCAARGATCRTATTTCGTGTTAAATTTGATTTTTATCACATACACACACATACAGGCATATATACATAAGTATAAATAGCTCGTACGCATACACTCATATATTTGATTTTCTTTATATTGTACTAATGTAATTTTATTATTTTTAATTTTTTTAGGTTTCGAGAGCATTGGAGAGTCCAGAACGAATACATATACTCAGTCTAACAATTGTGTTTACTCTTTTTTATCTTCAAATGCATCGAGGTAAGCATTATTCTTTTTTTAACCTATATAGAAATGTATAAAAAGAGTGAGAACGAGTGTGTGTGAGAGAGAGAGAAAATAAGAAAACAAAACATTCAACCACCTACAGGCAATTATGAATTGGTGTGTATATTTCCAGGAATTTCTCGAGGTGAAGAAAGACAGCCGAAACAAAACGTAAACAGCCGAACGTAGGACGAAGGATAAGCAGTGACGTATCTCATTCCCCTCCCGTCCTTCGACTAGTTAAGATCTAACGCGACGTGTAACGTATTAAACTATTTAATAATTTTATTTCTAACGTTATCTAATTAAAACATTCGATAACTGTGTTGATTAGACAATTTTTTATATCTAACATTGATTCTTTATGATAGAATATTTTGTTAAAGTGTGTGAAATGCCTCCAGGAATGATTCATAGGGAATATTGTATTATAATATAATCTTTAGTATGTTTCAGCTTTTTTACAGATTTTTTTCTTTTATTTTATTTTATTCATCGTCATCCTAARGGTAGGAAACCTATCCTGCAGTCATCAATGAAGACTAAAAGTAAGTATATTTTTCTATTAAACGTTTCTATGATCACTTGAATGGATTTTTATTCTAGCGATGATATTAATTGTTCTTTTTCTTTTTCTGTTTCAGAACATCATTGCAATCGAGCGCGTAGGCAATGAAGTACTCGT